CCTTAACTCTTCATTTGTTTTTATCTTTGTGTCTAAGGTGAGTCTCTTGTAGGCAGCGTATCGATGGGTCCTCTTTTCTTATCCAGTCTGCCACTCTCTTTCTCGATAGGTGCATTTAATCCATTCACATTGAGTGTAATTAGTGATATATATGAATTGATTGTTGTCATTCTGTTGTGTTTTTCTGTCGAGTTGTTGGTGTTTCTTTGGTCCATATACTTTTCTGTGCTGAGTTCGGTTTGTTGGCTAATGCTTTCTCCCTTTTCTTCTTTATAGTTGGTTTTGTGCTTATTAAACCCATATGTTTTCTTTCCTTCTGGATTTGCTTAGAAGAATTACTTTTCTCTGTGGTTACCTTGGCATATATTCTTGTCTCTACATTTTTAGAAGAGTGCAGTGTGTACTGTGAAGACAGTGTCCTGCTTTCCTCTCCATTTGAGGGTCTGTACCTAGAAGTTTTATTCCCTCTGATAGCTTAGTTGCTGTTGTTGTGTGCTGATTGAGTTCCTTGGTTTTTAAGGTATAATGTTTTATGGTCTTATTTTGACTATTTATTTCTGATTTTGTTTTAGTGTTGATGCCACATGTCCTGGTTTTGTAGATCTCTGTTATGGGTTCTCTATTGGAAGGACTTCCTTAAGCATTTCTTGTAAGGTTGGTCTTGTTTTCACAAAATCCTTAATTTCTGTTTGTCTGAGAATGCCTTGATTTCACCTTCATATTTGATGGATAATTTGGCTGGATATAGGATTCTTGGTTGGAAGAACCAAAAATCAGTGTTTTATATATGCTGTCCCATTGTCTCCTTGCCTGCATGGTTTCTGCTGAGTAATCGGGCGGAGCTCAGCCTGTTTGATTATTATAAGTAATATTTCTTTTATCCTGGGCAACTTTCAAAATTATTTCTTTGTCTTTGATTTTGGAGAGTTTGATTATAATATGCCTTGGTGTTTTTCTCTTGGAATCTATCTTGTATGGGATTCTATAAGCTTCTTGGACAGGTATTTTTTCTTCGTGATATGGGGATGTTTTCTGCTAGCAGGTCTTCCACAATTTTCTCGGTGGTCTTTTTCACCTCTTCTTCTTCTGGAATTCCAATGAGCCTCATATTGTTTCTTCTCATGTCATCACATATAATTCTTAGGTTCTCTTCATTTCTTTTAAATCTTTGTTCTGATTCTTCTTCATATAGGCTGGTGTCCAGGGATTTGTCTTCTAGTTGGGATAAGTGTTCTTCAGCCAGTTCTAACCTACTCTTTTGTGCTTCTGCTGTGTTGTGTAATTCTACATTTTGGTACTCTTCTTTTACGTTTCGGTATTCATCTTCTGGATTTCTTACTGCTGTTTTTGTATGAGTTCTTATTGTGCATTAGTCTTATTATTCTGTTCGTGAATGATTTTTCTGTATTCCTCCAGTGAACTGTGTTCTCCTTGTTTCTGTTTGGGGTTTCCTTAGGCTCTTGCATAGCTCTATAAATAAATCTTCTAAATTCCTTCTCAGATAATTCTATTACCTCCTCTTCTCCATGTATAGTGAGACTTTTGGTTGTGGTTTTGCTTCTAATGCCTTGTCCTGTTTTTTTGTTTGATTTGAGGTTGCCTGTTGTTTCCTAGACATTTTGAGGTTGTCTTTAACTGTTGGTTACGTGTCGATTTGTTTTGTCTTGGTTTTACGGTTTAATATTTTGAAAAGGTGAGGCTGGTGTATTTTATTTAATTACTAATTCAGGTATGCTGGTCACTCTGCAGTTTTCTTTGTGGTGTTGGAAACAGTGTGTGGAATGTGGATATGGGTTTCTGTTTGTTGTAAAGAGGTTTAGAGTTCGAATCGGGAAGTTTTATGTAGGCTGAATGCTGTTTCTTCTATTGGATGAGTGAAGTTATTGGCGGAGGAGGTGGTAATGGAAAAATGAAAGCTTGATGTTGCTATGGGTGGTTTCTAGGACTTTGGGCAGGCTGCTACTGATGACCTCGTACTGTTATTTAAAGGCCCGTGGCTCAATATCAGGAAAGACTCAGGTTGCCAGGGGGTCGCCACTCTCTGCCAGGTCCAGACACACACAAGAACCCCGCTCCCCAGGCCCCCCCAGCGCGCCAGAAAGCTGATCCAAAGCAACCTTCGGGCTCTGCGATAGGCTGCAAGTGCTTCTCCCTCCGGCCCAACCTGCCCTGGCCACGATCAGCCTGGGAGTCCTGCCTCAAGTCCACCCACCGCTCTGCTGTGGGCCACGGGCGCCCCTCTCTCTGGCTCCGCCTGCCCGCGGCACTGGCCCAACCCGCCCTGACTGCAGTAGGCTCGGGAGATTGTCCTTAGGTCTGCCCACCTGTGGCACCAAAGATGTGCTCGGTTTCAGCTGAGCTGGAGTTGGGAGAGTGCCTGTTAGTAATCTGTGGTTCCAATATTAGTGAAAAAACTTAGCGTAGATCTCTTAGTGCCACTAAGTTGACCCAAGCCTATTCAGTGGCTTGCTGAGTGGGGAGAGAGTCCACCCTCCTGGAGTACCAGTGGGCTCTCTGCTTGGGTTTCAGTGGTTCTGGTTGTGTCTGCTTGCACCTAGCCGACCCAAGTTACTGATAAAATCAGGTATTGAAGGTAAATCCCTGTGGAGATCGCTGGTATGCTGGCATGGAGTGCCTTCTGCCTTGGCCCAGGGAGATCTTGGATGGCCACTCTGGCCTGCTGGTTGCTCCCCCAGGGCAGTCCCCAATGGCCCTTCTCAGCTGCCTGTCCGCGTTGCACAAGGTAGATCTTACTCAGTTCCTTCCCCTGTACCTTTCCTCCAAATCTACTCCTCTGAACTTGGTGCACTCTGACTCAGTGAGCTGTTCAGAGCACCAGAATCCCTAATTCAAACTGCTGTATTTAGTTTGTCAAGCACTAAGATGCTAGAGGGAAATAGCATGGTGATTATTGATGAGACTCCATCTTGAATCTATCCATAATGTTCTTTCATAGTGAATTTTTTGCTTTACTATACGAGTTGCATTTGCTTATAAAAGTACTATTAAGAAAACTTTTTAAAGTCTCTATGTTCAGGCAAGCCAATCTAGTGTTGGTGGGTGTAGATGGCTTCTTTAATAATGAGAAGAAATGTCATTTAAGCAAGTTTTATAGCATGAGTTGAAATTTGTGTATAGTATATTTTTCAAACCTGCTGTGCATGAAAATTTCATGGAGAATGAAATACAGATTCCTTGGCTCCTCCTAGGACCTATTGAGTCATATTATCTCAGGGTGGCATGAGGCTTACAAATACCTGTTTTTAAAAAGCTCCCCAGTTGATTCTGATGAGAAGCTAGGTTCAGGGACCATTGCACCATATACTCAACAAATATTTTTGAGCATTATATACCAGGCACTATTCTAGGTGTTTGGGATACATCAGTGGGGAAAAAAAAAAAAAAAAAATCCTGACCTTATGGAGCTTACATCTAGCAGGGTTAAGTTGATTTAATAGAATATGCATTTGCTTCTTAGTGGCTTAAAACAGCAGTTTTTATTTTGCTCTTGGTTTTTTGGGTCAAGAATTCAGAAAGGTCTAGACTTGGGGCTTTGTTCCATGCAGATATTGTGGGGCTGCCATCTAAAAGCCCTACTGGGCTGGACATTGCTTGTTCACAGGGCTGGCAGTTGATGCTAGCTGAAGGCTGGGAGCTCAGCTGTGTTGTAGACTGGTATACCTACATGTAACCTTACTAGCAAGGTGATCTCAGGGTGGTCTGACTTCTTATGTGGTGGTTGGCTACCTTCCTCCAGGACAGCCATGCCAAGAAACCAGATACAGCTTTACAGGCTGGCAGCTGTGGCAGTTACAAGTGTCATTCTGCTGCATTCTATTGGTTAACAGCAGTTAGGCTGGCCCAAATTCAAGGGGAGGGGTCATAGGCCCCAGCTTTCAATGGGAAGTCATGGCCAAGAATTGGCAGACATACCTTAAAGTCGCTACTGTTGAGGCTTTTGCATTTTGAAATATATTGGAGACACATTTTTAGTGATGAGATGCTGGGCACTGCTTTTCTTTAAAATCCCCAATAGAGAGTGTGTTCTCGAGAGCAATTTTTCTCAAGAGACATTACTCATAAAGGGAGTACAAGTATAAACCTTTTTAGGGATGGCATTATGAGACCATCGTCATGGCTTTATTTCATGACTGTTCATAGCTGTAACCTGTAATGTAAGCTGGGGTTCACTTTCTAGAAATTGTAAGGAGACCACGTGATGAGATGAGCTAATGAGTCAAAGCAAAGCCTTCACTGTGGCTAGAGAAACAAGCCAGAATTTTTATTCTGATGACTGAGGACAAGAGGCTGTCTTCATGTCAGAAGGCTAACTCATCATTTCTTTTCTGTTTTGTAGCAAAAAGAAAGGGAGGTGGTGCTAGAGCATCCCTCTTCAGGAAGTGACTGGTCAGATGTGGATGATGTCTCCACAGTCAGATTCTCTCAAGAGGAGCCAGTCTCGCTGAACCTCTCAGCAGTTCCAGAGCCTCTGACCTTCACCACTGACTATGTCATGTACCCACCTCATTTGTACAGTAGTCCTTGGTGTGACTACGCCAGCTATTGGGCCAGTAGTCCCAAGCCTTCCAGCTACCGCTCCATGAGCAGCAGCAGCAACGATACATCCCAGGCCGGGAGGAGCAGCCTGAGCTTCCTGAGTGATTACTCTCCCAACTCCACAGTGAGCTCCCAAAACACGTCCAGAGACCTAGAGATGACAGAGGAAGGCAGATCCCAGAATTCACGTTCATTTCATTTCTCCAGAAGTTCGGAAGATGAAGATGTGAAGGAGAAAAGGACATTCCAAGAGGAGACACCACCGCGGCCCTGTGGAGGACGTGCATCCAGCTCCCTGCCAAGGAGCCACCGGGAGCCAAGCCTCGAGGAGGGCTTCATTGACACCCATTGTCACTTGGACATGCTGTACTCCAAGTTGTCTTTCAGAGGGACCTTTACTAAGTTTAGAAAAATTTATAGCAGCTCCTTCCCAAAGGAGTTTCAGGGCTGCATCTCTGACTTCTGTGATCCTCGGACACTCACGGATTGCCTGTGGGAGGAGCTGCTGAAAGAGGATCTGGTCTGGGGGGCATTTGGCTGTCACCCTCATTTTGCACGTTACTACAGTGAGAGTCAAGAAAGAAATCTTTTGCAAGCATTAAGGCACCCCAAGGCGGTGGCGTTTGGGGAAATGGGGTTAGATTACTCTTATAAGTGCACCACGCCTGTCCCAGAACAGCACAAGGTAATGAGGTTCTTTTTAGTTTGCTTATCATTTTAATTCTTTTTATAGTTGTTGAAACCTAACATTAAGGTTTCTCTACTTTTGGAACTAAAGAACTTAGAATCACTGAAAATTTAACTGCTCCATCTAGACCGCCTAGGTGTCATTTGTCAAATATTTCACAAGGCATTTCTTATTTTGTAGCTTTATTATATAAGAGGCAGGACAGGTACTATATGATGAGATTAGACTGATGATAAATAATTGTGAAAACATTTACTTTCTCTCCTGCTTGGGAAGCAATAAATTTTGTGTTTTGTTTTTGTTCAGTTAAGCAATGTATTTTTTATTTTGATTTTAAAGTGAAATGTCCTCATTGCATAAAATTTGGAAGATAATTTGGAAGATAATTTAAAAAGAAGATAATTTGTCCTTTCACCAGAGATAAACATTACTGTTTTAACAATTTTTCTTTCTAATATATTTTAAGCATGGAGATTTGGCAGGGTAAGTGCAGCTTAGCATTTCAGTGGAAGTTTCTGATAGGGGAAGGAGCAGAGCAAGGAGAAAGACCCTTCCACCTATCACTGCCCTCATTCTGAGATTGAATTTGTTGTTCCTCTCAAAGACCTGAAGAATCTGTGCTGCCTTCCTGTATATGCACTGAGGCCTGTTAAGTCTGGATCTGCAGGCCCAGTGTGCTCCACGGAGTCCAGCCATGTAGAATGTGATATGTTAGCATTGCTTTTGGAGCGGTCTCAGCCCAGAGAGATAAGCTTCTGCAGTGCCCTGATGGTTGCTGTGCCCTGTTGACATTGGGTCTGCTGGTGTGTGCTGAATTGTTTAAGAGAAGGAATATTCCAGAGTCAATAGTTAATTTTCCTTTGGCCAAACAGAAAATTTAGAGCTGTTAAGGAGCTTCTCCTAAACCTAAGACTACAGACCCTCATATACCTTTAGGAGATACAGATTCCAATTTGAATAGTTATTCATGACCACCTATTAAGCATGTAAGACTTAATAGATAATTTAAACAAGAAACAATTTTAGATGTTTCATGTGTGTCTAAGGCAGCTGCTTTCACATGAGTTAGGAAAGACCTTTTAACCAGTTGCTTTGAGTCAGTTCTGACTTCTGGTGACCACATGGGAAACTGTGCTCCATAGTTTTCTTGGCTGTGATCTTCTGGAAGCAGATAACCAGGCCTTTCTTAAGATGGCCAGGCATCTCTGGGTAGATCAAGCTGCCAACCTTTTGGTTAGTCAAACCAAAACCAAACTCATTGCTATCGAATCAGATCCGACTCATAGCGACCAGCAAACCCTCTTTGGGTTTCTGAGGCAGTATCACTATGGAAGTAGATTGCCAAACCTTCCTTCCAAGGAGTTTCTGGTGGGTTTGAACCGCCACCCTTCTGGTTAGCAGTCAGATGCCTTAGACATTATGCCACCAGAGGTCCCACTTTGGTTAGTAGTCAGGCATTTAACCATTTGTGCCACTTAGGGACTGAATTCAGAATAGAATTGTTACAAGTATGCATTTTGACATAAGGATCTATATTCAGACATGTGGGTAGGGTTTTATTTGTGTGAATATTTTCAATTATAGACTTTATATAATGAGTTTTTAATATGAATAGTATTTCCATTCAGAATTAGGTTTGTCTTCTACATTGAAACAACCTCTTGCCTGTCCAGACTTCCTTTTCCCTACTAATTTAGGAAGCTTCTGATTTCTAGCTTGAAGCTGTAGTTATTACCCAGAAGTGAAGAGAAAAAGAACAAAATCTGAAGATGTAGTAAATAGAATTTTAAGAATATGAGATAAATACTTAATATTCTGCTTTCCTGATTGGTTTTTATGGTGCTGATGTACTATAGAAAGAAGAATAATGCAGGAAGTCCCCAGAAATGTATATTCTGAGGTAACTGGAAGGAGGAAGAGGAGTGTTATATTTAATTGCATAGCTAATGTTAATTGAATGTCTACTCTGTGCTGGAAATGTGCTGCATATATCACAGTAATCTTTTCATTTTTTAAGTTATTGTTGTATCAGATCTGCATATACAGGTACATAGGACATGCAGCCTGACAAGCTGAACTTGAAGTTGTAGCGTGAAATAGCTGATAGATAAAATTGTGCAGATATCTTTGGCTTGGTGAGATGGGACTGAAGACTGGGAAATGGTGAGAGAGGTCTAAGCTATTCAGAGGAAATAAATTGCTGGAGGCAGGAGCAGGGGGGGAGCAGAAGTTCATTTAAAGGAGAAAAACAAAATATTTCTATATGAGGATTCCTAGAGGTTCCTCAAGGAGCTCTGGTAGCATAGTGCCTAAGGCACTTGACTGCTAACCAGAAGGCTGGTGGTTCAAACCCACCAGCCACTCCTCGGAAGGAAGGTTGGGCAATCCTACTTCCATCAGATGCCTTAGTCACTACTCCACCACAGCTCCCGATTTCATGACATTGACTGCAATTTCCCACAGTGTAACAGCTCTCTTCCCACTTCCTCCCTGTAGTTACCTCTTCCCTGATTCCTTCTTTCCCATGCACTGCCCCCCCTCCACCAGCTGTCTCCTTTTGTAAACACTGCGCTTCTGTTCTCTCATGATTGATTGCTCGAAGTAGTGTATCTACCTGATATAAATGTTCACCCTATATGTCTATGTGTTGTTTGGCTGGAAGCCACAGGAGTGAGTTCAGTTCCAGACCTGAAAGGCAACTAGGGACCCTAGTCTCAGGGGTCTCACCAGGCTCCATCAGACCAGCAAATCTGGTCTTTTTTTTTTTTTAATGATTTTGAGTTCTGTTTCACATCATTCTGCCATTCTATCCAGGATCTCCTATACAGATCCCCCTCTGAGTGGCTGACAGTGGTAGCCTGGCACCATCTAGTTCTATCTAGTCTCATGGTCGTATAGGCCGAGGATAGCATGGTCTACCAGTATCTTGGACTTAATTATTTCCATGCCTCTTTGGTTTTCTTCATTTTTCTTTGCTGTGGATGAGGGGAAAAGACCCATCATTGCATCTAGATGGCTGCTTGCAAGCTTTTAAGACCCTAGTCACCACTCATCAAAGTAGGATGTGGAACAGTGTTTTTGTGTAGTATGTTATGCCAGTTGAGCTTGATGTCTCACGTGATCGTGGTCCCAAGCCAGCAGGTCCAACTACTTGCTCCTTCCAGGTAGCTGGCTGTGGCCAAGAAGCCACTGGATAACGTATTCTTGATTTAAATTTAAAGTCCAGCATGAAAACATGATGAAGTAGTAGCAACCAGCAGCTGCACTAGCTGGATATCAGTACTGAATTAAATTTGCCCAAAAGCAAGTTCTTGATGTGTCCTGCTGAATATTTTACCTTGCAAAGAGAAGAAGAAAAGTCTGGAAGGGCTGTGTCTGGCTAAGTGATAGAGTTCCAGGTCTGGCTCATTATAAGAGAGAGAACTTAGTTTCTGTTACCTAATATTTTCTAGAAGGATTGGAAAATAAGACAAGCAAAATGGGAAAAGTCAGTCATTATCCTACCAATCAGAGAAAACCACCATTAACTTTTTCCTTGCTTATCTGTGTGATCACAGAAAGACCCCTAAGAATTAGATCTTGGCCTGTGGCCTTGGGACCATGGTCCCAGGGGACATCAGACTCAATTGGCATAACATACTGTACAAATACATTGTTCTGTATCCTACTTCGGTGAGTAACAACTGGGATCTTAAAAGCTTGTAAGCGGCCATCTAGATGCAACAATGAGTCTCCTAGTCCAGAGCAAAGAAGAATGAAGAAAACCAAAGATGCATGAAACAATTAGTCCAAGGGTCTGGTAGACCATGTGATCCTCAGCCTGTATGACCATGAAACCAGAAGAACTAGATGGCTGGCTACCACTGTCAGCAACTACTTGGAGGGAGGTCTGTGTAGGGAATCCTGGATAGGGTGAAAGAACAATGTGGAACAAAATCAAATTATTAAAAAAAAAAAAAGACCAGGTTTGCTGGTCTGATATAGGCTGGTGAAACCCCTGAGGCTATGGTTCCTAGCTGCCCTTCAGGTCTGGAATTGAACTCACTCCAGTGGCCTCCAGCCAAATAAAAGACTGGCATATGGGCTGAACATTTGCATCAGGTAGATACACTCCTTGGAGAGATCAGTGATGGGAGAATAAAAGGGCAGTGTATGCACGGGGAGATCAGCGGTGTGGGGCAGGGGTGAATGTGAAAGAAGGACACAGGGAAGAGGTAACTATGGGGAGGAAGTGGAAAGAGAGCTGTTACATTGTGGGAAATTGCAATCAGTGTCATGAGACAAGATATATATCAACTGCTGTTGCTCTCTAAACTTTCCCCAAATCACAACAAAAATTAAAAATGAAAAAAAAAGTTAGGTCATGTGTAGTTCATGTGTAAACTCCTACGCATAAGCCAATGGGAAGAACAGAATTCATTGGTATCTGGGGACAGAAAGGCAGGAGCATGAACTGCCCTTCCCCACTCTGGCTGGCTGAGCTGTCTGTTCAGCCTCTGCCACTAGTTGTGTTTGACTGGAATTAATTATTTAGGTAATAAGCATGGAAGAGATGCCTTGGGCCACCCCCAGGAGAGACTTATTAACTCTCAAATACCAGGAAATAATGGATCAATGGGGAACCCGAGCTAGTTCAGGCTGAAGAGAGTAATTATGCTGGGCAAATAATTTATCTGCACTTAATTTACTCCCGTGATTTTTCTTCTGGGTTCCTGGTGAGTATAAATGCTCTAGGTAGCTCCAGTACATAGCTCAACTCTGAAGCCCAGGCACAATCTCTACTCTCTGCTTGTGGGACACACATAGATCTAGATCTTCATTCTGATTAACATGGTTGAAATTCTAATGTGTTGTACAAAGCATTATACATTTAATATTATTGTCTCTTGAAAAGTTACAAGGGACATTTGGCAGGATGTCTTACAAGTAACTCTTAGAATCAAGGAAATATGTGTTGTCTGCACGTGCTTTTATTTTTTTTTTTAAGGAAATTTTTAAGTCATTTTGAATATTTTTTCTACGTAAATATATCTTGAAAAATCCTCTTTAACAGCCATGTAATACTCCACCTTAAGGCTGCAATCAGACCTCCATATCCTGTGGATTCAACCAACTGTGGATTGAAAATTTTGGGGGGGAAGCAATTATGTAATCAGAGCAATTCTTCTGAGGCTAAGAGGGAGCTAGAAAGTGCTATTTACATTGTGTTAGGTATTATAAGTAATATAGAGGTGCTTTAAAGTATATGAGAGGATGTGTGTAGGTTATATGCAAATAGTGTACCATTTTATTTATAGAAGGGACTTGGACATCCATGGATGTTCCCCGTGGATACCGAGAGATAAGTAACATAGCTTGTTTAGCTACCCTAAGAAATAATTTTTTAGAAGTAAGAATTAAAAGTTGAAATTGGAATCTCTTGAAACTTCCTGCATATATAGGAGTCAAAAGAGGGCAGATGAGCACTTGCAGATATGTTGGGGTGTCGCGTGGGAGGGAATGCAGCCATGGTGAGATATTATAACCAGAATGGTTGTGAGGATTTAATGTTGGATGCACTTAGTGCTTTGAATCTACCTGTCTCTAGTAAGTACTCAATAAGTGTTAACTATTATTGTTAATTATTAGTTTAAAAATAAGGAATTAGAGACCTTAGGGAGATGTCCATTGGACTGAGTGTTATGGAGAAACTGACTTGTGAAATGGACTAACCAGGTGATATTGTCACTTTGTTACCTTCCAGGTGTTTGAGAGACAGCTGCAGCTGGCCGTGTCTCTAAAGAAGCCGTTGGTGATACACTGCCGAGAAGCTGATGAAGATCTGCTGGACATAATGAAAAAATTTGTGCCCTCTGACTACAAGATCCATAGGTTAGAGGCTGGAACTTCAGCAGGCAAATCAAATAAACACTTCTCTCTGTCTAGGACATTAGTTGGAAGAACAAAAACCCAATGAGGAGAGCAATGTTAATATTGTGTCTTTATGTATTATTTTTTCCTAAAGAATTGTTAGCTCGATATGTCTTTTCTTAAAAATGTATTAGGTTCAACCATATGAAATTTCTAACATTTGGCCATTTTTTTACTTAGAAACGGCAACTTCATATGGTTGATGCTAATACCCTAAATCACCAATGTGTAAAACAGTGCTTTAATGTTCCCATCCTGGGTGAAAGGCTGAAATAGAAACCTGATTCTCAGAAATGAGTACTACTGATCTTGGAAATATCTATTATGGGGCCCATTGGCTTAGCACACAGGGAACATTCCAGGGCATCTGAAAGACATTCTCTCTTGTTTTTTTAAATTTGAAAGCTCATTTTACCTCCAGTTAACATTAACATCCAGTTATGTTTTATCTGCTGGCCATATAGGAGTTCATAAGTTCAGTGTGTGAACTCCTACCATGGTACATGCACTAGCTTTGGCTTGGCTTTGGGAACATTCTTGAGGGGTTGTGGGAAGACAGACATGTCAGCTGTGATTTCAATGTAGAGTAGGACCGAGGGTGTGCATGAGGTGCTGTGGGAGCCAGAGGCAGGACCATTTAATTGAGCCTGGCTGGGAAAGGGGTCAGGAGGTGATGGGTGAAAGGGTTAACTGACAAAACAGGGAGTCCAGAACCCAGAGCAGATCTTGACAGGTGGCAGAAATGGGAAGGATTTTCAGGCCACCATGCCGCTGCATTTGGGTGTCTAGGCAGAGAGCATTCAGCCTCTCACCTTTGACTATGGTGGCACACCACCAAGATGAGGCACGGCATTCTGCTCTTCGGAGGCTTTCCCACTGCTTTATTTTGGGCTCACTTCACAGGGAATCTAATGGCTAAGTTGGTACAACAAGGTCATGTAGCTGGGGGAAGCCCTGAGTTTTCAGATTGGTTAATAATATGAGTATATTGTTCCAAGAACATGAGCAGGTATCAAAGTAAGAGAAGAAAATCCACCTGTAGTCTCCAGTCCTCAGCATTTATTATTATTATCATTATTATTTTGCTTCCTTCTTATTTAGAGGCATAATTTTTCCATGCTGTAGTTATAATTTTAGAAGGGACAGTTTTTAATTCTGCCTTTTTTTTTTTTTTTTTTAATTGTGATTTTGGGTGAAAGTTTACAGAGCAAATTCACTTTCTGTACAGCAGTTCACACTTTGTCTCATGACGTTGACTACAATTTACCACAATGCAACAGCTCCCCTCCCACTTCCTCCCAATAGTTACCTCTTCCCTGTGTCCTTCCCTCCATGCACTCCTGCCCCCTGAGCTCTTCCTATGCATACACAGCCCTTCTATTCTCCCATGATTGTTCTCTCCAAGGAGGGTGAATTTACCCAGTGTAAATGTTCACCTCATATGCCTGTCTTTTTTGAGTTCCACATTGTTCTCCTACTCTATCCAGGATTTCCTACATAGATCCCCCTCTGAGTGGTTGACAGTGGTAGCCAGGCACCATCTAGTTCTTCTGGTCTCATAGTCGTATATATAGGCTGAGGATTGCATGGTGTATCAGTCGCTTGGACTAATTGTTTCCATGAATCTTTGGTTTTCTTCATCTTCTTTGCTCTGGACGAGGAGAGACTTAATTTTGCCTTTCTTTTAATGCTATAAGCATTTCCTACCCCGGTGTTGTTGCTGTATGTTCTTCATGGTGACTGTATCATATTTTACAATATAATAATGTAGATTGGTGACTGTACCCACTAAGTGTCATTATAGGTATAACCGTGGCAGCAATTGCATAGCTGTTTATTGTGAAGTCCTTTCCTTGGGTGTAGTTTTTTCTATTTCTGGGAATTTATCCAAAGAAAATCATTTCAAAGGGTCATCTATTCAGAGGGAGTTAGGGAGGACTATAAGAGAACTTTGATGTGGAATTCTCTTCCTTCAGGCATTGCTTCACTGGCAGCTACCCGGTCATTGAGCCCCTGTTGAAATACTTTCCCAACATGTCTGTGGGCTTCACAGCAGTCCTGACTTACTCTTCTGCCTGGGAGGCCCGGGAGGCTTTGAGACGGATCCCACTGGAGAGAATCATCGTGGAAACTGATGCTCCCTACTTCCTCCCTCGTCAGGTAGGGTGTCTTCAGGCTGAGTTGGGGCACTGAAGAGAGAGGGGGGTGGTAAGTGGGCACCCTTCTAATGCTGGCTAGGCCAGAGCCCCAGTGACATCCAGATCCCACTCTTGGCCGTGTAGATGTGTCCTTGTTGTTGCTCTGCAGAACCACAAGGTCTAGGGGGATGAGAAGCTGAAGGGTAACCACTCTCTTCCAGGCAGTGCAAAGCCCTACCCTGTAGAGGGTAGTCCAAGGAAGCGTGGGACCCTGCTCACCCAGAGCCCCCCATGACTAGGACTGTCCCTGCACCTGCAGGTAAAGGGGTCTCTACAGGGAAGCCCCAAAGAGATCCTTGCTGGGGAAGGGACAGGGAGGGAGTTCTGTGTCATGGTTGTGCACAGATGGCACAGTGATGTTCTCAATGCTTGATGTCTTCCAGGTTCCCAAAAGCCTTTGTCAGTATGCCCACCCGGGCCTAGCTTTGCACACTGTTCGAGAGATAGCCAGAGTCAAAGATCAACCACTTTCCTACACCTTGGCCACCTTGCGTGAGAACACCTGTCGCCTCTACAGTCTTTAAACAGAGAGGGTGCAGTCAGGAGTCTCCCAGAAAAGGTCATAACATTCACGTTATCTGTTTTTTAAAAATCAAGACAAAAATGTTATTTGCTGTATTTTCTTAATATAGAGAATGTAAACATAGGGTGAGCATTAAGCCTGCATTGTCTTGAGTCAACTTGGTTTGGAACTTTCTTCCTTTTCTCTTCCAAACTCTCCAGGGAGACCAGTGGCCTGACAGAACACCAGCTTGGTGTTTGGAGAGCCCATTGGAACAGAGGAAACCAGGACAGGATGTTTTCCTGAAAACTTCTTAATACGGCTTCTGCTTCTGGCTGGTGGGGTGGATGAGGGTAAGGGGAACTGCCCTTCCCAGCAAAAATGCTCCAGGGTAGTCAGTGAAGAAGAAACAGTCCAGTATAAAGGTACAACAAGTATGTCATTTTCTGCAGCCTGTGTTTTTGAACAGTCTGTGAATAAAGTCATCCTCCTACTCATATATGCACATGTGGGTGTGTAACTTGATTTCTGGTTCTCAGTTCTCAAATTGCACTCTCAAGTAGGAAATCTCTTGAGGGAGAAATTCACTGGATACCTCTCTTCAGAGGTTTAGTAAAATCATCCCCTTCCTTCTCTGGATAGCTCGTTGATGTCATTGTTCTGATATCAACTCCAGTGTCAGCATAGCAGAAGGACTTTGGCTGCTGGTCTCAGTGGCTCTACTGTTCACATTGTGGAGCTGGTGTGGGGGATGCTGATTGCTGTATCCAGGGATAGTCCTAGCCAATCGAGATCCAGAGCGGATTGGGGAACAGACCCCAAAGGAGATATTCCTTACCTACTAAAGCTTCCAGTGTCCCTTGGGTTTGTTAAACTCTAAGGGTTCAGTTTGCAGTATAAGGTATCTGGTAGTCTAGTGTCAGAGGTCCCAGCCTCTTTCTGCTCTGTTTTTGCCCCCTTCTCTTTGAACACTAAACTGAAAATACTCCTATTTCATCCCATGTAACAGCCCCTCATGTGTCCCACCCAGGTTGAGAGGTAAATCAGTTTAATTCTCCAAAGCTCTGCTGGAGCAGCTCCGTCACATCATGTTGCCTATGTAGAATAAGCAGGTCTGGGGTCTATAAACATCTCAGCCCCCTTCCAACCTCTCTTGGGCGTCTTCCTTGCCCTTGCTTACTCTAAGCCCTGTCTTTCTCTGTACGTTAAGATTTGAGAGCCTCTCCTTTGACTTCTGAGAAACTATGTCATCCCAAGTTCTGAGTCATACCCTGCTCCCTGCTGGTGCCTTGTAAGTGCATTGTAAATGTACATTCATTACAGACCATGGAGGCTATAATGATCGAGGGTTAAGGATGAAGACACTGCACCCTAATCCCCTGTAGGGAGACATACAAGCTACCCTGGCTCACTTGTCTATCTCTTAGCGGCCAGTAGCCCACATAATAAAATCTGTATCTTTTACACTGGATTTCCCTAGTTGTTTTTAGAAAGGTACATTTAGTCTCGTAAGCTAAAATAGAGGAGCTCTGGTAGCCTAGTGCCTAAGGCACTTGACTACTAACCAGAACCGCCAGCCACTCCTCGGAAGGAATGGTGGTTTGAACCACCAGCCGCTCCTCGGAAGGAAGGTTGGGCAATCTACTTCCATAGTGCTACTGCCTTGGAAACCCAAGGAGGGGTCACTATGAGTCGGGTCTGACTCGATGGCACATAACAACAATCTAAAATGGAGGAGTCCCTGGGTGGTGCAGATGATGAAGCACTTGCGTTGTGTACCAGCCAAAAGATTGGTGGTTTGAACTTACGCATAGATGCTTCAGAAGGCAGGTCTGGCTGGCAATCTGCTTCTGAAAGGTCATAACCTTGAAAATCCTAAGGAGCAGTTTCTGTTCTGCCTGTGTGGTGTTGCCATAAGTCAGAATTGACTTGACAGCAACCACCAAGCACAAGCTAAAATGGAATTTATTTAATATTTCATATTTGGTATTTCCATGTTCCCAGAATAAAAGCCCATCCTGGGAGTTAGGCCTTGATTCACTGTCATTCTTCTACAGATCAGCTGTGTTATTTTCTTTGTGCTTCAGATTTGCCAGTGTGGGGAGTCGGCCTTTGTTCTGCTTGAAAGATTTGGGGGTTGCTAACTTTTTCAAAGTGCAGTATTGTCACCCAGATCAACTGCAGCATATTCATCTCCTCCACAGCAAAGCCTGTACAATACTGCCTGCCCCTGAAACCAACTTGTCCTGGGTTAGAGGATTAAAAGTGATGACTCAGTAGATAGTCTCTCATCCTATGCAGTCTTCCTTCCAAGAAAAAGGACAGAGTGCTATATACCTTCACCTCTAGGATTATCATTCATGTGCTGTTACATTCAAATGTGACATGGCCTGTGTGGGTATGAAAGTTCCTTGGCATTTTTTCCATTTTTGGGTGGCTGACTTGATTGTTTTTGTTGTGCTGCTGGAATGCCTCTGTATCCCTCCTTCCCCACCTTTGGCCACCTCTTTCTGAAAATAAAGTGATGGATCTTCTAGCCAACTTCCATGTTTGTTTAGATTTCTCTGAGTGATATGATGGTTTAGTCTGGTTATTGGGCAGCTTTGTAACCTGACAATCCACATGTCTGGAGACATTCTTGAGTATGTATGTGTCTCTGTAAAATTAAACTGTGAATATTATTTAATTTATTATTATTATATACATGTGTTCCTGAATTAATGTAGTACATACATTATAGAACCCAATATAGAAGTTTTTTTCAAAAGGAGAAATTTTTTTTCACAGGCAAGTAGCTTGCTCTTCCCTGGAAAATATGTACCCTACTTCAGACATCCTTAAGTTACTCAGGTCATTTAATAATGCATGAAGGTGCAGATTTAAGAAAGCTGACCTAGGAACAACATGGTTGAAATGCTACATTTTCTCCTGTTTGATAAATTCTGTCTCTGCCAGTTGTTGACTTGTGATTACCGCCCCCACCCCTGCTTCCCCCCCACCCCAGTTGACCCAATGTATTATGAAGGAAACAGAAATCCCTTGGATCCTGTGTTAGACTGGGTTCTCTAGAGAAACAAAACCGGTAAAGCTTATATATAGAGAGAAAGAGAAATTTATCTTAGGAAAATGGCTCACACACTTATAGAAGCTAGCAAGTCCCAAGTTCTTGGATCAGACATCAAGCTGGAGGCTTTTTCCAACTCACGCAGCTGCAGGGGCTGAGGAACTCAAGGTTGGCAGGCATTATACTGGCTGTTGACTCCAACAAATGTCTAATCCAAGATCTCCAGGCCGAATGGTGGATTGTTCGCTCACAGACAGTTGTAGGCAGAATCCCGATCCATAGAAGAAAGTCTCTTTTACCAGGATGTCCATAAATATACGGGAAGCAGGCCACACCCCTAGGGAAACTCCCTTTCAACAGATTGGCTGCTTAAAACAAATACATCTGATCCCATCATTGGCACAACACACATCACAATTGCTTAACTCACACAGAATTGTGGTCCAGCCAGGTTGGCACACAGCTCCAACTATCACAGATCCCTGTTGTTATGTGCCATCAAGTTGGACCTGACTCATAGTGACCCCTCCTTGGGTTTCTGAGGCACTATGGAATAGATTGCCCCACCTTCCTTCCAAGGAGTGGCTGGTGGGTTTGAACCACCAGCCTCTGGTTAGCAGTCAAATGCCTTAGGCACTGTGCTACCAGAGCTAGTTTACAGATCCCTAGGCAGTAGCATAAGGGAGTAACATTGATTGGTGGAAAAGCGTGAACTTAATATTCTCAATAGAAATCTGCAAAGCATTTGCTATCTGACCTTGAGAAGTCACTTAGTTTGAACTCCTGCTCACCTTCATCTATATTAAGTGTTTAAAGCAGTGTTTGGTGTACAGCAGGAAGGCAATAAATGATGGCTGATGTAATCATTGAATGCCAGGCCGTGTGTCAGGTGTCCTCATATGAGATACCTTGTTCAGTCTTAACAATAATCCGGTGAGGTCTGAGTGTTTTACATGGGAAGGAAGAGACCAAGAAATTCAGTTACCTTGGTTTGGACCATACAGCTGGTATTTAAATTCAAATGTTAATGAGCATATTTAATTACCTGGGGATCTGATATAGTAGGGCTAAGGTTCTCTGGTAGCATAGTGGCTAAAGCACTTGACTGCTAACCAGAAGGCTGGCGGTTCAAACCCACCAGCCTCTCCTCGGAAGGAAGGTTGGGCAATCCTACTTCCGTAGTGATACTGCCTCGGAAACCCAAGGAGGGGTTGCTATGAGTCGGGGCCGACTCGACGGCACATAACAACAACAACAACAAGGTGGGGCTTGGGAGCTCTGGTGGCATAATGCCTAAGGCATTTGACTGTTAACCAGAAGACTGGCGGTTCAAACCCACCTGCACTCCTGGTTCAAACCCACCAGCCACTCCTCAAAAGGAAGGTTGGGCAATCTGCTTCTGTAGAGATACCGCCTCAGAAAACCAAGGAGGGGTTGCTATGAGTCGCAGTGAGTTTGGTTTTTTTGGGTTAAGGTGGGGCTTGATATTCTACATTTCAAAGAAGTTTCCAGATGATATGGGTGTTCTGTGAACTGCAAGCAGTTCATAGGTCAGGGATGGCAGTTGCCTGTCAGTTGGCCTATAGGGTTAGGGTCTGTAGGGCTGTGCCTTGAGTGCCAGGTGGCCACAATTTTATTTAAGGAGACACTTGGTCCCTAGAGCCTCCTGGTAATAGGAGTTTTTCCAGAGTGTGGATGTTAGCCCACCTTTTACCCTGCAAAAGAGTTTTCTCTGTATTTCTAATATATTCATTTATCTGAATTGACAAGTTGGCAGTGCTTATCTTTGTGGCTTCCTTGTTTGTCTTTTCCTCTTCTTAGTGATGTACTCCATCCAACATCACCAGCACTCTTGACATTGTTAGTTCACACTAAGGTGTAAATGATACGTGACATTCTGCTTGGGAGGATTGGCGTCCAACAGGAATTATGTTGGGAAATCTAAGGATCGAGGCCTACGTCAATTTTGAGCTGGAGCCGAGGAAGATGTTTTGGGACTACTACCTGGTACCTCTGAAGGTACCACATCAGAGAGTGTCTGCTTTGCAAGGCCTTTTCAATAATGGACAAGGAGGAAGGATAGATGTAGTTATTTCAGCCCTGTCTAGCATTGGTTAATAGTCATTATTGTGCATCCCACTATGTATGACTTCAGATCCTTCCTTTGGCATTCCCATCATCCTGTTTTTAATCATCCCATTGACTGATCTCGCATGGACTTTGGCTCTGATAATGTCACCTGAGGTTTCTCTGCCCACACTATCCTTGCGGATTGCTCATGACCTCTAACACTGCTTTGTTGTACTTGAGAAGCACTGATGTTTAAAAGAACTGTCTTTTCTTTCCCATGTCCTTGTTTCCTCCCTCCCTATTCTTTTTTCTTTCCTTTTCCCTTCTGTCATGTATTTCCACAATAGTTGATCTGCTGATATGCATTGGTTTAATTTGGTTTTGTAAGCATGCATACTTGCCTTGCTACATGTCTGGTTTTTGTCTTCCCATTTATCATAGACCAAGAATTGTTTTGTTTGCAAGATTGGTTTTTTCCCCCAGTGAAATGTAAAATTTCCCACTTTGATGGAATAAATTCCCATTTTGAACTTTCAGCATACAGTTTGAATATTTATTCATCTCCTAAGCTAGTACAGGAATTTGTTGCAAAAGCAACCTAACAGCAAGATGAAAGCTGCTAAGGTTGGGAGGAAAATGAGTCTTGTGGATGATCACTTGTTATTCAGGGCCTCTGAAAAGAAAGAGGTTGAGTTAAATTCCAGGTCCATTATCCTGCCAAAGCTCCCAAAGGTGATTTTTCTTCTACAATAACAGTGTTAGAAGTGATGTTTTATAATGGGGAGTTGGGGTAGGGGCATTGGCCTTGCAGTTGGAAGACTCCCCGGATATGAATTTGGAATATGTAACTAAGCAAGCCACCTAATAGCTCTGAGTTGATTTCCTTATCTGCCTAGCTATGTAGGTGAGGAAGTGCTTTGCATATTGTAGAGTACGCTTACAAAGTTAAAGTTAGGTATTTCTACCTCCTGAATCAGGAAGAAATTGGGTGGTTTCTTCTTTATAAGGCAACAGGGCATTCAAAATAAAACAAACCTTTTTTGGATGCATAGCCTATTCTGAATGTGGTTGGCACTAATGCCACTTGTTTATGGAATAAATTACACAGTAAAAGTATTTTCACACCAGATAGCTTCTACTCTCAGTGGATATTTGCTCCATTTTACAGTTAAGGAAATTGGGATTCAAGTGAGGTCCCAAAGTTAGCTGATGTACTAGTTCTTGAAACACAGTGCTTTTTTGAATACAGTTACTTTGTGCACAGTCCCCTCTTGAGCCACTCAGATGACAGTCCATCCCACCCTCCTGTAGTCATGAGGAAATTGAAACTGTTTGTGAGGCAAGGTGGGATAAGAAAACTCTTGGGGTCACCATGACAACTGGCTTACAATTAGGATTCCACAGAAACTCAGTTGGCCTGATCCAGGCAAGGGCTTACCTTTGGCATCTTCCCAAAGAATATCCTGAAGGAACTTCTCCAGGGCCTGGCCATGGTGCCGGTACTGAGGCCCTGACAGCTTGATTCCAATGTCAAAAGGGACGTTGAACTAGGAGTGTGGCAGGGAGGGCACAGTAGGCATCAGAGGTCACAAACCCCTAGCTCTGCCCCAAACATTCACCCCCATTCCAAAGGAGGCTCTGGATTCTCAGGTTCTCACTCATAGAGGTAGAGAAGGAATGGCCTTTGGTCCCCAGCAGGTATCATGGAGCAACATCCCTGTTTTCTTCAGCCCATGTCTCAACTCCCCTTTTGTCCTCTTTAGCATATTAACTTTGTAGCCTCTCTCCATGTATCTTAGCTTCAGTCTCTAAGGAGGTTGCTAATAAAAGCTATGGGTTTCCCTTCCATTAACAAACCCCCCCACCCCACCCCACCCTTGCACGCTTCCACTTTTGGAAGACAAAAGGCTGACTGGCCAATGGTGGACTTTTAACTCCTGCCAGGGCAATTTTACATGGGGGCATTGGGTCTAACCAGTGTACGTTGTGTTAGTATGAGTGATGGTCCCTCCCCCCAGTCTCCTTTCTAAATGTTCTTCCTCTCATATACATAGGCCTTTGTTCTATGGCTAAGCAAGGAAATTGACATTTGCCTAGGAAGGTGTTCTATGTGTCAATTCCTTTCTGTGCCTCTGTTTCACTTCTGAAGGGAGTGCCCAATGTTTCCTATTTTCTAGGCATTTGGGAAGATGATTTGGGAAAATGGGGAAGATTGCTATTGTAGCTACATCACAGATTTTCTGTTTGAAAGCAGAGAATGTATCTTTATCTCAATTTCCCTTGTAGCTAGCTGAGTGCCTGGCACATACTGGTCACTGAGATGTTTGAATCAGTCAAAGGAGTCTGTTCTGGAAGGGATCTTTAGGTCATCTGTTTAGTCTGCCCCTTGTTCTCAAGGTAGGGGGTCTTATCCCTATTTTCAGATAAAGCAGCAGAGCCCCAAACCCCCACTGCCACTGACTCCATTCTGACTCATAGGGACCCCCATACGGTTTCTGAGACTAAATCTACAGAAGTAGACTGCCTCATCTTTCTCCCATAGAGCAGCTGGTGGGTTCAAACTCCTGACCTTTTTGGTTAGCACAGCCCAGTGCCTTAACCACAGTGCAACCAGAGCTCCTTTAGCAGAGGCCTAGAGAGGTTAAGTGTCTTACCCAAAGCCTCAGAGGGAGTTAGTGGTCAAGGACTAGAATGCAGGACTTGATCCACCCAGCCCTGAAGCCCCTTCTAGTCCCTTGTTAACAAAGCCTAGTGTAGAGTCCTGACTGTGCTAAGACTGCACTAAGCATCTACCTCCATTGCTGTACTGAAATCTCCGCTCCCTCCTATAGGTAGCTGCTGGTACTGTTTCTATTTTACAGATAGGGAAACAGGCTCAGAAAAATTATTCAGGCAGCACATAAGCTATTTGGCTATTCCTTTTTGAAAATTTACTCTCACATGCACACATACCCCAATCCCTGAGTAGTGCAAATGGTGCTGCTAACCCAAAGGTTGGAGGCTCAAGTCCACCCAGAGGAGCCTTGGAAAAAGGCCAACTACTTCTGAAAGATCGGCCATTGAGCATTTACGGAGTTCTACTGTGACACACATGGGGTTGCCATGAATTGCAATCTATTTGACATCAACTATCTAACACCTGCACACACACACACACACACACACACTTACCTCCTTTGAGAAGATGGAGTGGATGATGAAAGGTATGACTGATTTTTTTTTTAGAGACCCTAGGCCCTTCTGCTTCCTCTCTTCAGTAAATACTCATTTTTCTTCTTCCACCCCATGGTCAAATCTGAACAGATTTCTTTGAAACTGCCATGAGCTCTGATCTGGGACACTGGGCTGGTCCAGCACCCTGGAACTGTGCTTTTGGGGTGGTATGATGATGGTTGGAAGGTCTGCTTTATGTGACTTGAGGAAGCCCCTTGTGTCCTCAGTGTCCCCTCTGTTCAATGGGGATACATGGGATGGGGAATGGGTGGGACTTAGTTTCAAAAGTCTTGAAGCTCAGAAACTCTATTTTAGGAAAACTTTTAGTGGGGAGGTCAGGAAGGAGGAGAACAGGAGAGGTTGAACACTGGCATGGGAGGGGCTTTGGTAGCTGAGCAAAAGGAGATCTCTGACGTAGCAGTCCCTCCACCTCTGAGACACTTCAGCGTTCTGGTCCTAGTTCTGGCAGTGTGCACTATTTCTCCCAAGGCCAGCTTTCATGGCAACTAGAAACATCTAGTAATCGCAGTCCTGTGTTGTGTCATTAGCTACCAAAACCTCTTCCCCATCTGGGCTAATTTCTTGTCAGCCTGGCTGAAGTTGACATTTCCACCTAGAAAGCTTCCAGGTTTTAGCTTAGGGTCTTTTTGACCAAGTGCAGACCTAGTGGGTTGGAGTCTTATTCTTAGTGTTGAGGAAGGGTCTGAGAACAAACACCTCCAGGTTCTGGTGAGGATCAGAGACCAAGGGTTTTGGGACCTTGAAGTGGGTGCATATCTTTGACAGGAGAAGAGGGTGGTGAGTAGGTAGCGGGAGGCCAGTGTAGGGTACACTTTAGCTTTTTCCCAGGCCACTGTGCATTGTTCACCAGGCTAGTGAGAAAGAAGAGAAGTGTTGGGGGCTGGAGTTGGCCCTGACTGAGTCCCATCTAGGCCACTCATTGCCTTTTATACCTCAGGCAAGTGAGCTCCCTCTCTGAGCCCCTGTTCCTCATCTATAATATCAGCCTACTTGCCTCACAGGTGTTGTAGAGACTAAATGACTATAATATGAGTAAAACACTTTGTAAATCAAATTGCTCTACATAGGCACAGCAGCATAATGCTATTACTAAGTACCACGCAGGGAAATTCTGGTGTCATCACAAAGAAATATCACCACCTAAATGCTTGTAAAACAAACAAACAAACAAAAAACCATTCCTTGAACCACAGCCAACCTTTCAAGAAGGTTACATAGACAACCCCTAAAATCTATACTCCCTCTGTCCCAATCCTTGAGCTGTCTCTAAATGTCTCCTTGTTCTACACAGAACTTGTCAGAGCAAAAATAAACCCTAGAGAAGACTGGATTCACCCTTTGTCTGTAGAGGTTCAGTGAGTGCTGGTAGCCAGCTCACCTGCCCAAGGTTCAATTTCAAACCACTCCATACCTAAGTTAAGGTCTTAGATTCCATTGAATAAAACCAAGTTTTTTGAGGGAGAAACACATTTCAGTTTGTGCCTAGCTGTTAGTCCTGTGTGTCCATCTCTTGAACCTATTTACTGCCTGCCCTTGTCTCTGCCAGACTCCCTTTCCTCTGCCTGAAGATCCTTGTACATTCCCATTCCCTTCTAGCAAAACCACATCTGGTACATTCCCATTGTGTGGTAGCAAAATTACTTCTATGCATTTAGTCTCTTAATGGACAAAGACCTCACAGAGCCCAGTGCAGAGCTCAACTAAATTGTAGTGCTGTTTCTATTTGTTGAATAGTTTTAAATGGGTCCCTGTTTATAGCCATTTCCCCCTCTCCTCTCCCTCCACACAGCTCCCACCTCCACAAAAGCACAAGGTGCAGAGAGGTACCAACCCGGATTTCCAGCTCATCCTCTGCCCCTTTTGCCTGACTTTCATCTTCAGGGTGGAGCCAACCTTCTATTGCTCGGGGTTGCAGTTTGGCTGATGGCTTCTTGGACTCCTTTCTCTGTTGGAGAGAGGGGATGTTCTCTTCAGGGCCTTAAGCCCCATATTCTAGCAGAGTGATGGGCCTAGGATCAGACCCAGAGCCCTCTTGTGTGCTCTGGAAGAAGGCTGAAGCCCAGTGAGTTTGAGCCACTGCTCTAGGTTACAGCTTAATCAGAATGTGGGATTTTGTGGGAAAGGTGGGGAGGGTTTCCTTACCTGGACTTTCTGGTGTTCAGGGCTCAGGAAGCTGGAGCCTGCCATGGCCAAGTCCGCCCAGAGCACACTGAAGAGCAACAGGCTGCAGATGGTCCCCAGGGAAAGCATGGCCTCAGCTAGGTGGGGGACAGATGAGCTTGGGAAGCGAAAGACTCCAGGCAGCATGGCCTCTGCTACCCAGTGTATGTCAGATGGAAGACCAGTAGACACGTAGGATTTTATGATGGGACCATGATTATTGAGTAGAAAAGCTCTCCTCACCCTGAGAGAAGGGCTCCCTCTCCCCACCTCCCCTAGATATGTGAGAACTGAAGAATATCAGTTCTGTCTTTCCCAAGCCTGTTGGAGATAGAATGTTTGGCAGTGGGAATCGATGAGTTGCCTCAATGTTATTTGTCTCAGGTCTTGAGAGCTTGCGCCAAGTGAAGCTGAACCAGCAAGGTCACTGGGGCACATGGCAGGGGATGGGATGCAAGGAGCAGGGGTTGAGGCTGTTCCTAAACTATTCTTTGTCTCTGAGCAGCTAGACTGACCCAGGCTGTCCAAATTCCTCTTTGCTTAGATGGTCCTCCTGAGGACCAGAGAAGTTGAATGAATGGCCAGCAGTCACAGGAAGTTAAACCTGTAAACAAACACCAAGAGTCAGAGAGAACTTACCTGGGGTTCCTGGCAGAGGTGGTGCCTGGTGACGGCGTGCTCCTTATATAGGAAGCCCAGTGTTTGTTCTAAACGAGGAGCCCAATCTCAAGGACAGGCTAGCTTATGTGGAGCTGATTTACATTCCTTGGGAACTAAAAATGCTCTCACGTCCTTGGGATAGAAATCAACAATGGAGGTCAAAATGCCCTAGGAGATTGCTGGGTTGGCTTGGGGTGGTGAGTCTGCCCCATCTGTCACTGGAAATCGATGTAGGGACGTGCAGCAGGGGCCAGGCCCTGGCTTGGATGGGGAGGAGGAGAGCATGGCTCTGAGGTCTTGTCCTGGTTTTGTTGCTGGGGACCTTGGCCAAGTCTTTCTCCTTTCTGGAACTGCCTTTTTCCCTCAGTAAAATAAGGTTGTGACCATTAGGAGAGCTTCAAGACCTTTTTTGGTCCCAATACTCCTTAGTTCTCTGTGGGCTAATGCTGGTCTAACTTCCACAAAAATCCAAACTCACTGCCGTTGAGTTGAGTCCAACTCATTATGGCCTCCTTCAGTTTCCAAGGCGGTATCTCTGTGGAAGTAGATTGCCCAGTCTTCCTTCCGAGGAGTGGCTGGTGGGTTTGAACTGCTAGCCTTGTGGTTAGCAGTCAAATGCCTTAGGCATTATGAGACCAGAGCTCCTCTAACTGCCACAGACCTCTTGAACACCTACCATGAGCCAGGTTCTTGTGCCAGGGCTTTTGCACGCTCACATAATTCTCACATCACCCCCAGGGGCAAGTTGAGAAACAGCGCTAGAGGAATGGGGGAACATGCTCTTAACCATCCTCTGCAAGGAGCAAGTGTGGGATACTTCCAAATAGTGGCTAAGCTCCAGTAATTTCTTCTGGCTGGTGCATGATGACTCTATTCTTGACCTTAACATATCAGCTTGCCTTACCTCCCTCAACCAAGTTTTGGCCCTTGTTTAATGGATACTTGTTCTTAGAGAGAAACAAGTCTGGCCTGGTGTTGTTCCTCATTAATTGGTTGGCTTTAGACAAGTCAGTAACAATCCCCCTTGCTCACAGAGTTGCTTTGAGGATTAATTGGTGATGGGCATGAAAGCTGGTAACCCTAGGAGTACCATGTTGACCACAACTATCTTTGTACAAGGCCTATAGGGTTTGCAAACATATGCCGCCCCACATTACTGCAGATGAAAAGTTAATTAGCATTATGGGGAATGCCTTACCTGGTAGGAGTGCTTTATGTAATTGGATGCCCAGACTATGATTCCCATTGGCCACCTGAGTTGTCTCCACAGAAATTGCAGGACTTCAGAAGAGGAGCTCACTTCAGGCTAGGGATTGGGACTGGGAATGTTAAGAAAGGTTTCATGATAGAGGCATGTGGTGGGACTAGAGCAGGGCTTTGAAGGGAGGGCAATTCTGTGAGCAGAGTGGCATGACGAAAGGTGAAGAGGAGGCATTGGGGTAGTGTGTTTGGGGCATTTATGAGGAGGCTGGGTTGCTTGAGAGGAACGGAAACAGGGGAGTCATATTGATGGGCTAGAAGGTGGTTTGTAGCCAGGTTACGGACAGGCTTAAAAGCTGACAACTCATAAAGTTGTGATTTATCTATGGGAGGGAGGCCACTGCTGATTTTTGAGCAGAGGAGAGACACAAACATAGATTAATGAAAGAATTCAAACAGACCTTGTAGACCTGAGAAGATGAACTGAACCCTTTGTTTCACTGGAACAAAAAGTGATCCCAAAAGGGGATCCAAACCCATACAGCCATCGGTGGCAATGCCAGGAGTCCAACCACTTAGTACAGTGGTTTCTCTGATAGACCATACTGTCTCTACAGTGGACACGGTGCTCTAGGAAAATCGCCTGCCTTGAGCAGGAAGGAATTTGGGGAGGGACTCAGTTTGGAGGATATTGAGGCAGTAGAACAGCTGATCACAAATGACCACCCTTACTTGAAGATCGACTTCAGGGTAGATTGGACCCTTATAGAAATTTTAGGAACAACAACAACAACAAAAAAATTCTAGGAACAGTGGAGGCATAGGCTGTGCTGTACTGAGCCTTTAAGTACAATGTGGGGGACTAAGTACCTCCTTCAACAAAAACATGTCATCCACCTGCCCTTTGTGGTGGCTAAACTCCCACCTTTAGTCTCATCAGAATGTAAGCATGTCACCAGGAGGCCTTCATAGCCCTGATCTTGACCTCTTTCTGCCCCACCCAGAGCCTAGAGGGGCAGAAGGAGGAAAGGTGTGTAGAGAAATCTGGAGCTCCAGAGAAGATTTGCAGCTTTTTCACAATCCCATTGCCTCCCCCAGCCGCCCCCCCCCCAAAAAAAAAAAGAACTGAAACAGCTATGGTGACTAGGCACCTATTCAGATATGAAGGCTCCACTTAACCCTGACCCTGGAAGACCCTGGAGGCAGGAACTACCAGTGTTGATCTTAGATAATACCACCAGCAAGTAAACAGTCACTGCTTCCTGTTACCTTTGGGGAACAGAAAGGTGGCCTATGAGTTGGAAACCACCCTAACCACATACCACAGAGTCGAGGCTGGTTAAGAAGGAAGTCTGATGGATGTACAAACCATTGAGGGAAGAAAAGGCAGAAGGCACCCAGCCCTACCCTGTAAGACATACAGAAAGTACCTTGCTTCCTACTCATAGTGGTGGACATGGAGGTGAACATGGGTTGCAAAAGGATCAGAGTATGGCTTATTTGCCTAGCCATTGCTTTCAAGTCTGGATAATAACCAAGAGCAGTTTGGAACTCCCTAAGGGTAAGAGTGCACACACTTCCTGTCACCTTCCCAGAACTGAGAAGGTGCTTAGTGATAGTTTGTTGGTTGGCTGGCTTCCTTCCATTGCTGGCCTCTTGAGGAACTGCCTTATTGAATGAATTAAGTACATTCATCATTAGTGAATGAACTGCTTACATATAAAGGATGCCTGGGAATAAATTATTATCTTTAGTGGTTATACACTTTTCACTATAATTTCATTTGTATTGGTAATTGGTTTAGCAAGCACTTTTTCCCATCAAGTTGGCAACCTCTGAATAAGGCAAATTCTGGGCTTGAAGAAAGAATCCATTGAGGTAGAGTTTTTCAGTAGAGTTTCTATTTTCTCCTAGTTCTAGCTCCCAACACTTCTAGATCAGCATGTCTAATAGAAAAATAATGCTAGTCACAAATAAGAGCTGCATATGTAATTTTAAGTTTTCTAGTAGCCACATTCAAAAAAGCAAAAAGAAACATGAAATCAATTTTATGTTTTACTGAACACAACATACCCAAAACATAATCGGTTCAACATATAATCAATATAAAAGTCATTATTGGGATATTTGACACTCCTTTTTTTTTTTTTTCATACTAAATCTTCAAAATCCAGTATATTTTATTCTTACAGCATGTCTCAGTTTGGACAAACCACATGGCAATTGCTCAGCAGCTACCTTGCTGGCCAGTGCAGTTCCAGATAATCACGGCTATCACTCGAAGCCATTGTTCACTCTCCTTTCCTTCCATCCAAGCCAAGCCTCTTCCATGGGGCTTCCTTGGATTCTGCTGGTCCCTGGGCATCCTAGGCCACAGCCTTAACAATTTGCTTCTTTTCTATTTTCAGTCTCTTCTTTCCAACAGCTTCTTCCCTTCAAACCATGTCCAGATTGCTAATCCTGGAGAAGTCTATTTTACACTGATCCCACCTTCCCCTCAAGCTACCAGTTCCAAGCATAGTTTCCCTTTACCTGTCTCCTCTTCCTTACCATGCATGTCCTGGCCCTTCAAAGCTCTAGGGCTTGACTACTACCTCCACCACTGTAGTTGTTGTTAAGTGCCATCGAGTCGTTTCCGACTCATAGCGACCCCATGCACAGCAGAATGAAACACTGCCCGATCCCGCGCCAGCCCCACAATC